GGTCTCAGGCTGATGGAGTCTCTGGTTTTTGTGGCCCTTCTCTGTCTCTTGGGCTAATATTTTCCTTGTGTCTTTGGTGTTCTTCATTCTCCTCTGCTCCAGGTGGGTTGGGGCCAACAGATGCATCTTAATGGCCGCTCACTAGCTTTTAAAACCCCAGACAGTAAGTACCCATCTTTTAAACTTACAAAATCAATTTGCCCATTCCTTAAGAAGCTTATTCTGCAAGAAGGGCTATATGTGCAGATACCAGTAACCTTTGCGTTAAAAGAGCACGTGGAAGTAAGACCAAACAGTGTGAAGTGATGAGTGAACGCAACATGTATTCATGGAAGACAAACTGTTCCCTTCCTGCTACAGACAGCCCTAATTCAGGAGCTCGATTCTTTTTCCCTTGACCAGTGTTTTTTCCTAACACTTTTAGCTATGTAACCCAATACATAACACAGACAAAAGCAAAAGCTGCTCTAGCTGAAATAAATTGGGGGTGGGTACAGTAGAGCCCCACCAGCTCAGCTCTCCAAGGAAGCTTAGGGGCTGTATGAACCAGTGTGAAAAATCATTGCCCTAGAGCAGGGTGATCCACAGGCCCCTAGAAGTCCCTTTCAGGGGGTCCGTGAGGTCAATCACCACCTGTCTGTCAGTCTGTCACACTGTGGTGGCCTTTGTGTTGCTGTGATGCTGGAGGCTATGCCACCAGTATTTCAAATACCAACACGGTCACCGATGATGGACAGATTTCAACAGAGCTTTCACACTAGGAAGAAAGGCCTGGTGATCTACTTCAAAAAGGTAGCCAATGAAAATCTTATGGATCACAACACAACACTGTCCAACTCACTTGCTTTGGATATGTCATCAGGAGGGATCATTAGCCCTCTACTTCACCAAACATGATACTAGAGGACGTCATGTTTGGTGAAGTACAGGGCTAATGAGGGTAGGGGAGACCTTCGGAGAGGACTGGTATAACAGTCACAACAATGGACTTGAACAGGCTGGCAACTGTGAGGATGCTACAGGACCAGGCAACATTTCATTCTGTTGTACATAATGTCACCATGAGTTGGAGTTGACTTGACTGATGGCAGCTAACAACAACCACAACAACTAAATGAAGTCAAAACTATTTTCATAATACTAAAATATAATTTTTTACTGTGTTAATCTCTGCACTGAGGTGCAAAGGCAATGGTGCTGGAACCTCAGCATGAACCAAAGCAATGATCCTATACTATACTAGCAGTTATATAATTCTTCACTGACACGTACTTAACAGTACGAAAAAAAGATTCCACTTTCACTTAAGAATGTCCTTTATGAAGCAGTAAAAATTACTAATTTAATTAATTCTCAACTTCTGAGTGATTATTCTTTGCGATGAAACGGGAACAACTCATAAAGCACTTCTGGATACTGAAAAAAAGGGCTGTCTCAAGGAAAAGCACTTACGTGACTGATTAGGGAGTGAACTAGCCAATTTTCTTCATGGAACACTATTTTTATTTCAAAGAGTGAATGACAAACTGGTTACTTGGTCTTGAAGCAAAAATCAGAATTCTGGAAAACTTGTGTTTGTCATTATGAGCTTGTCAGCTTCCAAATTCTTAAAAAAGACATCCGATGAGATGGGTGGTAATACTAACAACTGTATAATGAAATTTGTCAACATTCGGAAGATCTGGCTAACTCAGTGAACCAATAATTTCCAAATGACCAGTACATTTTAATGTAACAAAGTACAAAAAGTTCAGTGAAATCGTTTCAGATTCCATACTGCAACCTTTAAGAAAAAAAACTACTTGTCAAGTTTGGGTATAGTGTCAAAGAAGAGTATCTACAATTATGCAAAATGGCTATTAAAAGACTCCACCCTTTTCCAAATACATACCTTTCTGAGGCTGGATTTTTTTCATATACTTCAACCAAAACAACATATCAACAGTCTGAATGCAAAAGAAGACCTGAAAATCCAGCTGTCTTCTATTAAACCAAACATTAAAGAGATTTGCAAAAATGTAAAATAATGCCACCATTCTATCTTTTCAGTTATTTTTCATGACAACTGTGTTACTTATGTCGAACATAAGTTAATTATTATTATTAATTTGATCATATTAAAAATTTTGTTATAATTTCTAATACAGTAAATATCAACAGATATAACCCTGTAAACAAAAGTTGTTTGGGGTCCTCTGTAATTTTTAAAAGTATAAAGAAGTCCAGAGACCAAAAAGTTTGAGAACTGCTATCCTAGACTATTACAGATAGACAAACAGATAGACAGCTGCCATCAAGTGAAGTCCAACTCATGACAATCTCATGTTGCCTGCTCTTGTGTCACTGTCACCATTGCTGGCAAGTTCAAGTACACTGTTGCAGCTACTGTGCCAATCCATCTCACTGAGGGTCTCTCTCGCCCTCACAGACCCTCTATTTCACCAAACATGTCCTCCTTTAGCAAGTTGGAATCGACTTGACAACAACTAACAGCAGCAGCAATCAATCCCTCCTGATGATGTGTCCAATGCAAGTGAGTTGGACAATGTTCTGTTGTGATCCATAAGGTCTTCACTGGCTAATTTTTAGTAGATTGCCATGCCTGTCTTCCTAGTCTGTCTGAAATCTGTCCATCATGGGTGACCCTGTTGGTATTTGTTATACCAGTGGGACACCTTCCAGCATCCTAGCAACACAAAAGCTACAAAGTTTGACAAAACTGACGGATGGTGGGACTATTGTTAAAGCTTCTTCCTAACTCGTCTGCCTGCCTCCAGTTTCACATCTTCCAATCTACCCAACTAGCCACACCAGCTTAAAACCAGTCTTAGTTTCAGACTTACCTAATTAGAACTATATTTTAAGAAATCATTTTTGTTCTACTAAAAAAACTGCAATGGTTTCTCATTACACTGAATTAAGTACAAATTCTACAATATGGCAAGTAATTCTCAGTATTTATAAAATTAGTTTGCACAGCGGCACAAGACTTTGACCAATGCATATTCATGTGGCATCAAGTCTATAAGTGAAACGGAAAGATAATGCAATCATGTAACATCACATTTAATTATATCAATTCAACTACAAGCTCTTTTGCTCTCTCTCACAAAAACAGAAATATTTATTTACCCAACAGCCTATCCCCTTTCAAACAAGACCTTGATTTCCACAGAAAAGGAGGCTATCACAGAAACCAAAGGAGAAACTAAAAGTGACCCCTGGACTCTTAGCTCTTCTGATTCCCAAGTACCAGACCCTGGCAATTTAAGGGTTTTTCAAGTATAATTTTTTAAAAATACAACTTACTGATGAACTTTACAAGCAAACACTTGGCAAGATAAAGGCATTTTATTGAAATACTGGAAATGTTTTCTCTAGAGCAGTGGTGTCTATCGGGGATAATTTTGCCTCTCGGGACATTTGATAATGTCTGGAGACATTCTCAGTTGTTGTAACTTGGGGGGCTAAGGGCATTGAGTGTGTAGAGGCCAAGTATGCTACTAAACACCCTAAAATACACACGACAGCCCCCACAATGAAGAATTATTTGGTCCAAAATGTTCATAGTGCCGGACAGAGAAATCTTGCTCTAGAGACATACCCTGTCAGATACTTGAGGTCAATTTCAAACACGAACAGATGTACCAAATTCTCAAGAAATGTTATTCAAATACTTGCCTCTAATGTTGCTGTTGTTAGGTGTCGTCAAGTCGGTCTCGACCCACAGCGACCTTACGTACAACAGAACAAAACACTGCCCAGTCCTACGTCACCCTCACAATTGTTGCTCTGTTTAAGCCCATTGTTGCAGCCGCTGTGCCAATCCATCTCATTGAGGGTCTTCCTCTTTCTCTGACCCCCGACTTTGCCAAGCATGATGTCCTCCTCCAGGGACTGGTCCTTCCTGATAACACATCCAAAGTAGTAAGACGAAGTCTCGTCATCCTTGCTTCTAAGGAGCATTCTGGCTGTACTTGTCAGGATGGCCAAGTAGTCTAAGGGGTAAGACTCAAGGTATGCACCTTGCCTGTAGACATTCTGGTCTCGGAATGGAGGCGTGGGTTCTAACTCCACTTCCGACACAATGCTTGCCTCTAATACCTACTTTTAAAACTCCAAATTCCTCAGTCTCCTAATCTTTCAAGAAACTGCATAATTACAGATGTGCTCTTTATTGTAAATAAACATCAGAACTACTATCCCTTACTTCCCGGTTAACTGCCACCATATAAATAATATAACCGACAATGTAATACAATAAAATAATACAACTAATTTTTTTCTAATCTGCCAGTGAGTTTGGTTCCCTAAAAATTCTACTTGCTCTTAGCTATCTAGGAGCTAGGAGACAAGAACAAATTCAGCTACCGAAACACTATGCAGTATATAAACTATACAGATCCTCTTATCTGGGCCCCACGTTTCAGGAGCACATAAACACCCAGACTCTCTTATGATTATTTTTAGGTAACTCCTCCGTATTTGTTTATTCATTCAAGCAAACACGCTAAGGGACTACTATGTGCCAAATAACCTGAATATAAAGTCAAAACAAAAACATTTTACCACCGTGTAATACAATAAAAAAAAAGTAAACAGCTAAAATGCAAAACTATATGTGCTATAAATAGAAGTATCAAATAAGTGCTACGGAAGCTTGAAGGGGAAAGAATGCCAGGGAAGGCTTCCCAGAAGAGAGTAATGAACTGAGAAAATGTCACAGAAAACATAAACTGTTTACATCTTAGTATTTACACTACAGTTCTTGTCTGCTCTCATCATACACTACTGTTTTTCAGTTTTTGCTCTGTCATGTAAACAAGAAGTAACAATCTGACTGACTGGAATGGACCAAAGTGGTAAAACTAGTAATTCAATTTCTAATCTTAAATGAAGAGTAAAAAATAATAATTTTATCAAAGTATTTACGTCCAGTACCTCCATCCTGTCCAATTTCTGGCTTTGATATCCTAACTTTTTTCACCAAGTAAACATACCATCTGTCATCCAGTTCACAAATGTTTCTTTCTGAATTTATAAGACTGCCAACGGGATAATCATTGTTCTTTTCTTTTCTTGCAGTTAGTTTCTTCCTCCAAATCGGGGTTTAATTCCCTCATCTTATTCTATTAAAGTACTTTATTTTGAATTTTGCGCCAAAGAGGAACCATGGAGTTCCAAGGCACTAGAATTACAAAGTGACCGCTGCCTAGCTTTCTAAGTCTTGCCTATATTTCTTGCTATCGATTCCAATACTGTTGTGGGTCACTAACTGGACTCTTCTTCTGAATCCACAGCCGCTAACGCAGGTCAAAATTTCAGATCTAGAACAGGAAACTAGCCAATGACTTGCAGTTTTATCAATTCGTTTCCAATACATAACACCACTAACGTTCTGTAACCAACTTTTGAGTTTAGTTCTATCAGTCTAGGCAAGGGTACCACTAATGCAGCTTCTCCCTTATTCTGGAGAGAGCTAGTAGCACCCAAATCCAAAACGCTATTTAAGACTACGTCTACTAACTACAGAATGTCTACCGTCCCCACCCCCAGAATCCTCAATAATGAAAAACTGGGGCCCCCTAGGAGGGTGGTGTGGTAAAAAATTTCTAGACTGAATCAAGACATCTGACTTAATCCCGTCCTTTCTCCAAGCCTCGGTTTCTCCATCTATAGAACTTGCACGGGATGCAGGGAAGGGGACTGGCTCAAATAATTTCTAAGGTCCTCATTACTACAGTAATTCAAAAACCCAATCTTTCTCTCATCTGGCTTTACACGGTTTACATGGGAAAACAGAGAAAAACCTTTTACTCCACTGAACCGACCCTAATTCTCAAATATTATCTTAAAAACTAGCAAAATCCCAACTCACCCAACTACCACCTTTCTCTCGTGGAGAAGGCAAGGCAAATAAAGCCCATTTCTGCACCACTGCCAAGGAAGTCTGGGGAGATCGTATTCAGGGTCTTAAGAAGCTGTCTCTGCAAAAGGCCGGCCCACCGGGGGCGCCTATCATCGCCAAGGGAATGAATGAGTACAACCAGCTAAATGGGCGCTCAGTCGGCGGGAGCTGCAACTGGAGACCCCCACCCCCACTCCCAGCCCAGATCCCACCACATCAATTCCCTCGCAGAGCCGGAAGAACTAAGCCTGGGAGTCGCAGGATCGCGGGCCCCGCCCCCTTCCTCATGGTAGAAGGTGCGCGACGGGCGCGAGACTTCGGCGCTGAGAGGGCCTGGGACGCCCCGCGCAGCCGCCCGCCCTGAGGGGAGGAGCCTGCCGGTCCCGGGCCGCCGCCGCTCCGGCTTGGGACTTACCGCGATGCGGTGGGGCAGGGGAAGTGTCAGGAGTGACGGTCCAGGCCGGTTCGTCACCCGCCGCTCTCTGAGCAGCGCGCGGCCGCCTCGAAACCGCCGCCGCCACTACCACCGCTACCGACTGCCGCTCCAGGCGCAAAGCGCAGAGGGCCCGACTGCGTCACACGCCGCCCGCCGTCAGAGGCTCGCTCCGAGCGCTCCGCCCTCGCTGTCTGAGCATTGGCAGACCAGGCCGCCACTCTAGGCCCGCCCTGTTACTCATTGGGCAACTAGTCTTTCGAAACAGAACGTGAGGGCGGTCTTCGGGAGAAGAGACTAGGGGGAAGAGGAGGGGCATGAAGAGTTAGGGAGAGGAAAAGGGGAGGAGCGGTGGAAGGGATCATGGAGTCCCGCCCCCACACTGCCGCGGTTGGGTGGGAGAGAGTCGTGGCGTCACACAGGGCACCTCGAAGTGGGCTGGTGAGTGGCTAGATTGGGGTGTACCGGGCGGGGTGTGGGAGAGGAGTGCTGACGCCATACCGAGGCTCCTCCCCCTTCCTTGGGCCCGAGAGACTCCGGCTGCGGAAGCTCGGGCCAATCAGAAGGAAGGCTCCAGGATGGCATGGTAACTATTCTACCCTTCCCTTAACCCCCCGCCCCTCAAGTCCGCGGGCGGTGATGGGAAGGCTTCCCTGTCGCCCTGCCCGCGCTTCCCGGCCACACCACGTGCGGAGCTGGAGGACCCTCCCCGGAGGCCCGAAATCGCAGCACCCTCCTCTCTTGCCAACCTCGTCAATCAAAGTTGAACTAATGGCTCCTGACAGGCCTCTGTTACAGCCTTGTCACTTTGTATCCTATTATTTACTGCCTATCTTCTGTTCCCAGAACAGAAGCTTGATTACGAGGAGGAGGGGCGAGCAATGTTCTAGAAACTGGACTTCTCTAGTAACTGAGGATCTCATACAGAATAGCAGGGGCGGTGCTCATGCTCAGAAAACGTATGCGGACTACCCCTCCACCACCACCTCTATCAATACAAAACTGAAACGGGCTCTGCCCAAAAGTTAAATCCTGGGTTTTTAATGGTAGCAAGGGATGTTTGATTAATTTGTCAGAAAGTGGAGTGGTTGTATAGATGAAATAAGATAATGGATGTGCTTGAAGAAAAAATGTATGTATTGATGACCTCCTTCGTTGATCTCCATCCAAACATCCCCCCTTTCTCTCCACCTCCCACCTCCCCCACCCATTCCCGTCCCCCCTTCCCCACCCCCGCCTTTGCTGTACATGAGAGAGTCATAAACTCTCCCTGATAGTTACTGTAGCTTCCTCACTCTCCCTGAACCTTTGATTTCTCATCCTCCAATCCTCAAGCCCAACTCTGTTCAAACCTTTTCCTCTGCTAATTTATTTTGGTGTTCCTAGGATCAGGCACAGAGTAGATACACATTAGTGTTTGATGCATGAATGAGTGAGTTATTTTCTACAGTAAAGGAATCAGAGTAAAAAGTTGAATTTTAGAGTCAGAAATCCCTGGGCTTAAATCTGGGTTTAACTGTGTATTCGCTGTGTGAACTTGGACAAATTTCCTAACCCCCTGAACCTCAGTTTCCTAGTCTGTAAAATGGAGATAACAACTCTACTTGCCTCACAGGGTTGTTTTGAGAATTAAATGAGATAGTATATATAAAGCACTTAGCATGGTACCTGGTACATAATAAGCCTTCGATAAAGGGTAGATATTGTTTGCATTCCTTAAAAATGTCAAGGAGCTCCCATTCTAAACACTACATGCTCTAAGACATGGGGTCTGACACAGAAAAGGGGCTCAGAAATACATCTTGAAAGACTAGCAGGTATGCAGGAGCTGGGATCCTTAAATAGCACACACTTGTGGGCAGAGTGGAGGGGGACACATTGGACAAGGAGTGCTCCAATGAGCAATTTCCTGTGACCATGGTGATTTCTAAGTAATGTTGTTTGCTACTCTGGTAGGCATATAGCCCATAGCCTCATCATTCCCAGGGACCTTAGCCTGGGGGAAGATTTTTTGTGGATCCAGGGCTTCCTGGGCCCACAGACTCCTACTGTGCCTAATTCTCATAGCATCCCTTTTGATAGTCATCGTCTTCTTCCACTCTAAAGATAAGCATTTTGATACGTGTTCACAAAAGCTTGCTGAGCTAAGCCCTAACCTGAGCATCAGGAGCCCAGAGAAGTCCACAGATCAACACTCTGCACTGGTCAAGAAAGGCCAGCTGTGTCTTGGGAGCCCCCAGTCTCCCACACACATGCACTGAAAACTCATCCCAAGCAGCTATGAAGGATTGGTGTTCATGGAGTAGACAGACATGTAAGAACTGCAGAAACATGAAAGAGTAAGAAAGATTTCCTCCCAAAGTGATGGTTGTAGGTTTCTTATATGGTGTATTGGAAAGAGCAGCAGATTTGGAGTCAAACGGAGCCAGGTTCAAGTCCTAGATCTGCTACTTTTTAGAGCTTGTACAAATTATTTAACTTCTGTGCCCCAGTTTCCTTGTCTGTTAAGTGGACACAATAATTCCTACTTGAAGGTCAAAAAAGACAAAGGAATTTGCAAGAGACTGGGAATATATTTGATGCATGTTGATTCCCTTTCTGTTTTCCTATAACTTGATAAGGAAGGTTAAGGTTTGTAAATAGTGTTGAATGAATAATTTCTTTTATAAGGATCCGCACAAAGCTGGTTCCTATGAGGTGGAGGTTAAAGATGTCACAAATGTCCAACTTTTCCAAACTACTGTCCTACTCTATTATCTTTAACATCAGTTACTCCTCCCATTAGCACTGCCCCTCCCATCTTTGGGTAAAGTAATTTGCTGCAATGTCTCACAGAACTCAGGAACCATATCTCAGGGAAATGGCTCATGTGGTTATGGAGGCTGGCAAGTCCCAAATCCATGGGTCAGGCGTCAGGCTGGAGGCTTCTGCAGACCCACGTGGCTGCAGGGGCTGACAAACCCAAACCGGCAGGTCAGAAGACAGGCTGCTGGCTCACAAAGATGTGGAAGCTGGCAAATCAGGTCAGACAATAGGCTGCTGGCTCAAGGGACTGTGGAAGCTAGCGAATCCCAGAATCGGCAGGTCAGAGAGCAGGCTGCTGGCTCAAGGTCCAAGAACCATAGGTTAGATGATCATGAACTGGATGCAGGATCTAGAGTGAGAGAGAGAGAAGTTCCCTAGAGCATTTATATACATTTGATGCACACCACACCCTCAAGGAAACTTCCCCTACTTGCGAAGGCAGTGACTTGAGTCATGCCCTTTAGTAAGGGTAGTGACTAGAGTAAGGGTAGTGTCTTGAGTCACACCCTGTAGTAAGGTGGTAACTCACGTTATATCCCTAACCCTGCCTCATTAACACAACCACAGGCATAGAGGCTAGGATTCACAACACATCACAAAATGGAGGATAATTAGATCACAGAATGGAAGACAACCCTACAATACTGAGAAATAAGACCTAGCCAAGATGACACACAGCCCCAAGCAGCACAGGTTCTATACACCTTATTTGCATAGTCCCACTCAATCTCTGTGTGTGAGTCACAAAGACTACAGCTACAAGGGCCATCTTAAGCAATTTGTTGCACTGCAGGCCACTCCTTGGCTCTTCTAGCCATTGGCCCTTTTATACTTGAAGAATTAACTTTCCCTTCCCAATCATTTTACCAGTCCAAAACAGGCATTAGCAATTAGTCCTTCTGTAGGGCAAAGAGTCCGCAGGGTAAGGTTACTCAGGTACCAGCCATTCAGGTCTGCTGCAGGTGTCCCATCTGATCTGGTCAGATTCTCCAAAAGTCATCTCATCCTCACCCTTTCTGGCTTCTGATAAAATTTAACTGAGAGAGGATTATTCCCTTGCTCAGAGTCTCTTTTGAGGTATCAGCATAGTGTTATGTTTCCCCCACTGCATAACCCATTTGTTCATTCCTTTACCTTCAGCTATTATTTCTTCTTCCTTCCTTTTGTCTTTTATTTTTACCCAAACTTTTCCACCATGGGAAGGGATATCAGGTTTAGCTGCTGTGCCAGTCCAGATTGCTGGTGGCAAGACCAGTCTAGCAAGTGCTTCCTCCTCAGTCCACTCCCGTTCATGTTAGGTAGGGTTACATGGGTGCAACACTAGTGGGCTATCTCATGCACTAGGCAATATGGCAGTATTCACTGTCAACCCCAATTTTGTCAGATGAGAATGTACAATCCATCCTATCAGGCCCTTGGGAATTCTGGTATACAGGTTCAGGGGTATAGTTGCAGTCTCTTGCTTAGGGATCACCCCTGCTTCCGGCACCCGCACCTGAGTCCCCGGTCCTGAGACTGCAGTATCCAGCAGAAATAAAATAATTTTAGATGATATGGGGAAGAACTGTACAGTGGCATCAGCATCCTCCCCCACCCCCTCTTCCCCAGATCCACCAGAGAAGCATAGGAATCTGTCCAGTGGTGATCTTCCCTTTGCCCTTCTCATGGTGAGTATGAGCACACACTCATGAATGTGTGTGAGCCAGCCCTTCATGCCTTATTTCTCCCTGTTTTAGATAACAGATGTTTCAATTGCCCATTCCAATTCTCTATCAAACCATTACTCTTAAGGTGTTATGCAACATGGTATGTCCATTTAATATGATGTTTTTTGGCCCATTGCTTCCCCTGTGAGCTGTAAAGTATTTTTGTTGGTCAGATGAAATATAACTTGTTGGCCCCAATTGGTACAATATCTTTTGTTCCAATCCTTTAATGGTGTTTTTGGCATTTGCATCTGTCATGGGATATACAAAGCCCAGTCCAGAGTAAGTATCTATTCCTGTGAGGACCCACTTGTAACCACCTGGTGCCACTGATGTCATTGGTCCAATATAATCAACTTGCCAGCTATGTGCATGGCCTTTCCCCCAGGGAATCTGCCCCATA